ATGCAGATCCGAGCAGATCCACGAGCAGATCTAAGAGCAGATTCCAGAGCCAGATTAAGAGCCAGATCAAGAGCCAGATCTAAGAGCCAGATCCAAGAGCAGATCAAGAGCCAGATCCAAGCAGCCAGATCAAGAGCCAGATCCAAAGAGCCAGATATAAGAAGCCAGATCCACGAGCCAGATCCAAGAGCAGATCCAAGAGCGGCGAGCCAGATCTAGAGCCAGATCGACCAGATCCAAGAGCAGATCAAGAGCCAGATCAAGCGCCAGATCCAAGAGCTAATCCAGACCAGATCAAGAGCCAGATCTACAAGAGCCAGATCTAAGAGCCAGATCCAAGAGCCAGATCCAAGCAGCCAAGAGCAGATCACAGAGCCAGATCCAGAGCCAGATCCAGAGTCAGATCCAGAGCAGATCCAAGAGCAGATCAAGAGCCGATCAAGAGCATCAAGAGCAGATAAGAGCCAGATCCAAAGAGCCAGATCCAAGAGCCAGATGCACAGAGCCAGATCAAAAGCCAGATCCAGAGCCAGATCCAGAGCCAGATCCAAGAGCTAGCAGATCCAAAGAGCAGTCAAGAGCAGATCCAAAGAGTCAGATCCAAGCCAGATCCAAGAGCCAGATAAGAGCCAGATCCAGAGCCATCCAAGAGCCAGATCCAAAGCCAGATCAAGAGCCAGATCCAAGAGAGATCCAAGGCCAATCAAGAGCCAGATCAAGAGCCAGATCCAAGAGAGCCAGATCCATAGAGCCAGATCCAAGAGCCAAGATCCAAGAGCCAGATCCACGAGCCAGAGATCCAAGAGCCAGATCCACGAGCCAGATCCAAGAGCCAGATCACGAGCCAGATCAAGAGAGCCAGATCTAAGGCAGTCCAGAGTCCAAGAAGCCAGATCCAAGAAGCCAGATCAAGAGCCAGAATCTAAGAGCCAGATCAAGAGCCAGCGATCCAAGAGCAGATCTAAGAGCCAGATCAATGAGCCAGATCAAGAGCCAGATCAAGAGGCCAGATCCTCAAGAGCCAGATCAAGAGCCAGATTCCAAGAGCCAGATCAAGCCAGATCCAAGAGCAGATCTAAGAGCCAGATCCCAAGAGCCAGATCCAAGAGCCAGAGATTCCAAGAAGCCAGATCCCAGATCCAGAGCCCAGATCCGAAGAGCCAGATCCAAGAGCCAGATCTAAGAGCCAGATCCAAGAGCCAGGATCCAAGACCAGATCCAAAGAGCCAGATCAAGAGCCAGATCTAAGAGCCAGATCAAGAGCCAGATCAAGAGCCAAGATCTAGATCCAAGATCCAAGAGCCAGATCCCAAGAGCCAGCCAGATCCAAGGAAGCCAGATCCAAGAGCCAGATCCAAGAGCCAGATCCAAGAGCCAGATCAAGAGCCAGATCTAAAGCCAGCCATCCAGAGCCAGATCTAAGAGCCAGACCAGATCCAGAGCCAGATCCAAGAGCCAGATCCAAGAGCCAGATCCAAGAGCCAGCCAGATCAAAGAGCCAGATCCAGATCCAAGAGCCAGATCCAAGAAGCCAGAGAGCCAGATCCAAGAGCCAGATCTAAGAGCCAGATCCAAGAGCCAGATCCAAGAGCCAGATCCAAGGCCAGATCCAAGAGCCAGCCAAGATCCAAGAGCCAGATCCAAGCCAGATCCAATCCAGAGAGCCAGATCCAAGAGGCCAGATCCAAGAGCCAGATCCAAGAGCCAGATCCAGAGCCAGATCCAAGAGCCAGATCCAAGAGCCAGATCCAAGAGCCAGATCCCAGATTCCAGAGCGAGCCAGATCCAAGAGCCAGATCCCAGATTCCAAGAGCCAGATCCAAGAGCCAGATCAAGAGCCAGATCCAGAGCCAGATCAAGAGCCAGATCAAGAGCCAGATCTAAGAGCCAGATCCCAGATCCAGATCCAAGAGCCAGATCCAAGAGCCAGATCCAAGAGCCAGACCAAGAGCCAGATCAAGAGCCAGATCCAAAGAGCCAGATCTAAGAGCCCAGATCCAAGAGCCAGATCTAAGAGCCAGATCAAGAGCCAGATCCAAGAGCCAGATCCAAGAGCCAGATCAAGAGCCAGATCCAAGAGCCAGATCTAAGAGCCAGATCAAGAGCCAGCCATCCAAGAGCCAGATCCAAGAGCCAGATCCAAGAGCCCAGATCCAAGAGCCAGATCCAAGAGCCAGATCCAAGAGCCAGATCCAAGATCCAAGAGCCAGATCCAAGAGCCAGATCCAAGAGCCAGATCCACGAGCCAGATCCAAGAGCCAGATCCAAGAGCCAGATCCAAGAGCCAGATCCAAGAGGATCCAGATCAAGAGCCAGAGAGCCAGATCCAAGAGCCAGATCCAAGAGCCAGATCCAAGAGCCAGATCCAAGAGCCAGATCCAAGAGCCAGATCAAGAGCTCAGAGTCCAAGCAGCCAGATCCAAGAGCCAGAATCCAAGAGCCAGATCAAGAGCCAGATCCAAGAGCCACAGAGCCAAGAGCCAGATCAAGAGGCAGATCAAGAGCCAGATTCCAAGAGCCAGATCCAAGAAGCCAGATCCAAGAGCCCAAGAGCCAGATCTCCAATCAAGAGCCAGATCTAAGAGCCAGATCCAAGAGCCAGATCAAGAGCCAGATCCAGAGCCAGATCAAGAGCTAGATCCAAGAGCCCAGATCCAAGAGCCAGATCCAAGAGCCAGATCAAAGAGCCAGATCCAAGATCCAGATCCAAGAGCCAGATCCAAGAGCCAGTCCAAGAGCCCAGAGCCAGAGAAGAGCCAGATCCAAAGAGCCAGATCCAAGAGCCAGCCTAGATCCAAGAGCCAGATCCAGAGCCAGATCAAGAGCCAGATCCAAGAGCCAGATCCAAGAGCANTCGGTCGGTCCGTCGGTCGGTCCGTCGGTCGGTCCGTCGGTCGGCCGCGCTGCATGAGCTCCTCGGCTGGGCAGCGAGTGCGTTCTGAGGTGTCTTGGAGTGTCTTGGGTTGTCTTGGAGTAGTCTTAAAGTGTCTTGGCTTGTCTATGAGTAGTCTTGGGTTGTCTTGAAGTGTCTTCGGTTGTCTTGAAGTGAATTCGGATGTCTCTCAGTAGTCTTGGGGCGTTTTGAAGTGTCTTGGGTTGTCTTGAAATGTCTTGGGTTGTCTTGAAGTGTCTTCGATTGTCTTGAAGTGTCTTCGATTGTCCTGAAGTGTCTTCGGATGTCTCTGAGTAGTCTTGGGGCGTTTTGAAGTGTCTTGGGTTGTCTTGAAGTGTCTTGGGTTGTCTTGAAGTGCCTGAGATTGTCTTTGAGTAGTCTTGGGGTGTCTTGAAGTGTCTGAGATATCTTCGGGGGTACCTTGAAGTGTCTCGGGAGCGTTCTGAAGTGTCTGAGATGTCTATATGGCCCTATAAAAGTCTCTGGGCATGTCCTAGTGTCTTAAAAGTGGATGTCTTTTAGATATCCTGAAGTGTCTACAGGTGTCTTCAAGTGCATGTCTTTAAGATATCCTGAAGTGTCTACAGGTGTCTTCAAGTGCATGTCTTTAAGATATCCTGAAGTGTCTACAGGTGTCCCGAAGTGTACCGAAGTGTCTGAGATGTCTACAGGGTCTCCAGGGCCGTCCAGGGGCGTCCCGCAGAGTCCCGAAGTGTCTGGGAATATCTGACATGTGTCTGACATGTCTTGAGATGCCTTGCGCGTGTCATGGAGGGCACTGGGGATGTCTCCAGGTTCCTTCACTGTCACGGTTTATCTATATTTTTCTCTCTCCCTCTTTCGTGTTGATATATTATTTGTTTTTTGTTCTTTTTTTCTCTCTCTCTTAGTCCGTTTTTCACCTGTCTGTCTGTCCATCCATCACTGTACGTTTATCTGTTTATCTGTCTGTTTGTCTGTCTGTCTTCCTGTTCACCCATCCATTTATGTATGTATCTATCTACTTGTTTGTCTGTCTGTCTGATGAAATGTCTATCTGTCTGCTTATCTGACTAACTGCCTGTCTACCTGTCTATCTACCTGTCTGCCTGCCATCCTACCTGCCAATCAGCCTGCCAATCGACCAACCTGTCCTCCCTCAATCAACCTCCCCCCCT